TAGAAATCCGTGCTGGAAACGAGAAAGAGGGTTATTGACCCTAAGATGCTTCAGGATTTCATCTTTTATAAGACGCTCGAAAATGTTGCTGGGAATGCTGGTTAGGAAAATGGGACGATACCTAACAGGGAAGTGCCTACCTCCTTTCTTGGCAATGGGGCAAATAACGGTTTCTTTCCAGGTTGTGCGAAAGGTTTTCTCGTCCATGCTGCGTTGGAAAAGAAGAGTTTAAGGGGCAGCTAATACACCAGCTGACTCCACCAGTAACCTGGGGTGTGTATTTTCAGGTCTTATGGGGCAGTACGGATTAATGTTCCGGAGTCTACTTTCAACTTTATCCTGTGCAAAAAGGATAGATCCTACGGGAGAATTTGCATCTAGCGGCTGAAGAATAGGGTGATTGAGCACCGGAGGGGAGTTGAATGTTTTCTGCAAGTGCGATCGGTAGATATCTGCTACCTCTGTTGGGAATGAGGATATTGCTTCGTCTGGGTTGGAACCATGGAGCAGAGAGGGCTTACGCAAGATACGGATGTATTTAAAGAAGAAAGGTTTGTTGTTTCGAGCATTGGTAAGAGTAGCTCTCTGGGCCTATCTCTGATGTTCCCGAATTTTGTGTCGGCAGAGGTTTCTAACTGGTTTAAAATCATCTCCGTCTGCCACGAGACGAGTATTCATGTATCTCGCAAAAAGCTTGGCCCTTGTATACAACAGCCGGCGAATGGAGCGAAGGAGAGGGTGCTTAGCATTAGAAGCAATTCGAATTCGGGGAACAAAATGCTCGTCAGAGAGAGATGACCTGCTCTATGTGCCTGGCGATTCCGTCCACAGATAGTTCAGAAGAAAGACAGATGTGTAGTTGCAAAAGCCGATTTACAGTCTCGAACTTTGTTCTTTTGAAGGAACGAACGTATCGAGTGTTATCGGTCCACAAATTCCAAGTTACTATGTAGTCAAAAGTCAGCAAAACATGATTGCTTCTTCTAAGAGGGAAAAGATGGTGTCTTTCATTGGTGATGACCAGGTCTAGTGAAGATGGCATGCATCCTTGTCGGAACCTGGTTAGAAAAGACACGTGCTGCTTTCAGGATTCCTCGACAAGAAGGTCATTAAGAGGGCGACCGAAGGAGACGTCTGTCGAGAACGTCTTTTTTCACTCAATGCCTGGGCCATTGAAACCCCCTACAACAAGAAGATGAGTGTTGGGAACTTTCCGTGAGAGACCTCAGCTGGTCTATCAGGAGCTGATGCTCTAGTAGACTGCATTGTGGTGGGCAATAGACTAGGCACATCAGGAGGTTCCTCGTCCTGGAGATCTAGAAACAGATACACAGACTATCTATAAGAGGGATAGGATCAGTGATTATGAAGATAGAACGGGGGAGATTATGCTTAGAATAAATTATGACCTCATCTGATCTTCCGTGTGTGGAGTCTTTTCTAATAAGGGAGTAGCCTGGCATGGTAAATTTGCAATCGGCGAAGTCCGCCGTGAGCCAGGTTTCTGTCAACAATAAAAGGTCTAGATTATTGTCTGGTGCTAGTTTCCTTAATTCTGGAATCTTATTGAGGAGGGGGGCTGAGGCAGTTGCAACAGAAGCAGTTACAAATTCGCTCATCATGAGGCGAAGAGAAGGGAGGAGGAGTTGGAGGGCGTTGGTGGGTTGGATTGGTGGGAACATAAGGCGGGGGAACCCCGAGTGCTGCCGGTCGGAGTTTCTGTTGGACACCTACGTGCAGGAAGGGTGGAGGTTTCACGGATGAGCAAACTTGATTTGGCAGTCTTTCTGAGGGGCGACCCCCCGGAGCCCCCATCTGAAAATTGGATTTCTTATTGGGGGTGGATACGGAAGTTGGGAAAAAGGAAAGCGCTTTAGAGAACCTGGTAGGTTTCTGGAGAGTTGGAAGGGCAGTCTTGAGGTTCTGGGCAATGGCAGATGAGGCGGTTTTCTCCCCGTGACTATGTTACTTTCTAGGACTATGAGATCACCAAGTAGGCCTTTTTGCTCCAGGAGGCGTTGATTTCTCTTGACCGGGTTTGTTTTTTCTGGTTTGTGGTCCCGGGGACGTACCCAAGTCTTTTCTCTAAGGTTGATTTCTGCGTGCGTAGAACATGCAATTGCGTTCGTTGAGCTGCATGCTGCTGGCTTGAGGAAGACCACTGTCCCGTTTAGGGGGAAAACTTTGGGTGAGATTGGTTGTAAGTGGGTTACATCAGTTCCCAGAGGTATAACCGGGACGAAAGCGCTTCGGAGAAGCTTGAAGTACGTCAAGGAGTAATAGGGGGTGTTCTGCTTTGCAACAGGGAGCCTAAGGTGCCGGGGTTTATCAACCAATACCCCTCTGAGCGTTTGCAGGATCGTTTTACGGATGGAGAAAACGAAATGAGCTTACGGGCTGTAGAAGAGGAGCCCCTATCTACTACGAGGTCGTGGGAAGTTTTGCTTCACCGGGCTTGAAAACCGTCCTATTAAGATGTTTAAAGATTAACTTCGACATTTCCTGGGGCTTAAGGAGCTCGCGAAATGTAACATTCTTGCAGTATCAAGTATTTGCTGCTCGGAGACTTTGATTGCTTGGCCCGCCGCGAGTGAACCGAGGAGTTCAACATGAGGGCGCTGAGTTTGGCAACCTGATCACCGACAGCATTTACTTTAGCCTTCGGTTTCTCTAGTTCTAAGGCCTGTTCCTGTGTAATACCCAGCATTTCGGCGTGCAGAAGAGTTTTATCCATGTCTACCATGAGCTCATCTGACTTCATGGGGATCACTTTGTCATAACAGTCTCAGAAGTGGAAGAACAACTAAAACGCGCGAACTCCTTTAGCTCCATGGGTCCGGATGAAATCCATCCCCGTATACTGAAATAATCCGCGGACGTGTTGGCTGCCACATATGCCCATCTCTTTCAAATGTGCTTGGACATAGGAACCTTTTCACAACAGTTGAAGAGGGCAAATGCTATCCTTATTTATAAGAAAGGCGATAGACACTAGCCTACTAGCTATAGGCCCATCAGCCTAACCAGCATTCCCAGTAAGATCTTCGAGCGCCTCATTAAACGGCGTATTCTAGGACATCTAACTGAGAACGGCTTGGTACACGCTTCCCAACACGGGTTCCTACCAAACAGGCCATGCATCTCCAATATGCTGACATTAATTGATAGTTTAACCCGTGCCTATGACGAAGGGCATATTTTGCACGCTATCTTCATAGACTTTGCCAAGGCCTTCGACAGAGAGACACACATCCCTATCGTGTACAAACTAGAGAGTTTTTTTCTTTTTCGTTTTACTTCCTTTTATTGAATATACAAAGATACAATTTTCAGGAAGGGGGAAGCGGCCAATCAGAAAGCTGCCATATAACACACAAATGGGGAAAGTCGGGCGGTGGTGGTGGGATTCGAACACTCGTCCTCCGGGGTGATAATTAGTGACGTTACCACCGGGCCACCACCGGCCGACTGCTTTCCCTGCTTACTAGTTTTCCGTCAAATCGCTCCTTCGCGGTTCGAATAAGCACATCCGTTTCTTCGCCCTCTCCAGACTCAATAGGAGTCCCACAGGGCTCCGTACTAGGTCCCATCTTATTTCTGATCTATAACAATGATCTTCCTAAACGTTTCCCTATAGAGATTGCCATGTACACGGAGGATGTCACTATCTGGGGCACAGACGCATCCCAAGTGCAGTCGGCGATTGGCCGAACAAAAAATTGGTCAGTCGACCGGAGCTTAACAATCAAAAACGAAAAATGTGCAAGCATGTCTTTTGGTAGCGCTCCTGGTCAACCTTTCTGGGTAAACTGTTCAACCCGTATCCAACTGGTGGATCAGCACCTTGGTTTCTGGCTGAATAGCTACCTCTCCTTTTCTTCCCATAACCAAAAGGCCAGTAAAACCGCTTTTCGTATTCTAAACCTTATCAAAAGATCTTTCCCGCGTATAACCAAAGAGGACTTCCCTTTCCTCTATGGAACATACGTACGCCCACTGTTAGAATATGGCAGCCAAATTGCACATTCTGGCCTCATTCGCGACCGCGGTTCACTAGAGCGTGTGCAGCGAATGGCCACGAAACTAGTACATGGCTTGTCAGAAAGCCCTTAGCCTACCCGACTGCAACAGCTAAATCTATATCCGACGTATCTATACGACGTATCTGTACTCTGCCAGATCTGGCTTCGGTATCTCCTGCTTTACGTACAGAGCATACTTAATGTCTTCGCCCACGCCCACAGTTTCAACGAAACAGCCGAGCCATGGAGCAAGCTCAAATTTTTAGCTGACAATGGCAAACGTTGGGAGCTTTGAACCAACCACGGTTCACCAAACGCTTCCGAATTCAGCTCCCGTTAAGCTCTTTCACGAGCCCATGACAGAAGTGCAGCTTTTGTCTAAGTAGTTGGTCGACCTTTGCTTAGCTATGACCACCATGCAGACCACAATCAACAATTTGCAGACTACCCGCACGGCACGTAGTCGTTCCTGATTAAGAAACGGGGACAGGCAAGTCCCATCTCGGGGTCAACTGTGCTATTACCACAGACACTTCGTCGATTGAGCTAGGAAGTGCGAACCGCCGCGTTCGTTTTAAAACCAGCAAGGAATATAACAGACCGGCAGGTCACGGTGACTACCTCGACTGGCTCTCCTACCTCCTGTAACCTCCTTTTTATCTTTGATAATTCCTCCGAGCTTAGGTTTATGGTAGTTACTGGAGCGAAAGTCAGTATAGTCCCGTTCACTAATCAGGATGCTACCATAGACGGAATCCGTTTCGAAATTAAACCGCCATATCTCATTTGGAACCACATTAACGTACTTCCTATAGAAAACGACAAAATTAATACCAGGAGAAAATTTTTTCTAGGAATCTATTCCCGCCTATGGAATAAACATTCAGTCGAGATAAGACAAACAACCAGCTTCAAAGCAGGTTCCGTGGAACACAATTCTGCCCGGTACATACTTCTACGAGTATTGTGACCCAATACCCCGTAAGCGACCTGTTTCTCGAATCATTTTTACTGTAGCCCCTCGTCTGTAGCACAAGCTAAACAGGTGGCATGTGTTGACAACTCAGCAGTTTTCTCTTATGGAAGCATTTCTCAAACAGTAGATTGGTCAAGCCACATTGCGGTTCAAATATTCTTTCGCTGACAACCTACTCTAGGTTTATCACCCACACATACATACTTAATCCTAGACCAC